AATTAAATTGTTGTCTTTTTTTTTTTTTTTTTTCCATTTTGTTTTTTGGTACTGGGGATCAAAATTGGGAACTTGCACTTGCAAGGCAGGTGGCAGAACCACTGAGCTAAATCTCCAGCCCTGGAATCCATTAGTTTACAGACCTAAAATGAACTAAATTAGCTAGAAGTTTGATGAAGAATATGAGATATTAACATGGTTAAGTGCCTCTCCACAAAATACATGTTATTCACATAATCGAATCATAAGAAAACATCAGATAAACTGAAAGGGACATTTTTCAAAATGGCTTATACTTTTCAAAGGTATTGTGAAAATCCAAGTGTATGTATGATCCTCAACTGGATCCTGGCACCATTAAGGATCTTACCAGAACTGGTTAAATACTCTAGAACAACTGGTAAAAATTGTTAAAATCTGACAACTGGAAGGCAGTGATATATAAATCTGATTTCTCTTGTGATGGCTGGTTTGTGTTTTATAGAACACTCTGGAGAAAATATAGACTAAAATATTTGGGAGTATTAGGTGGGGCATTGTGTTGGCCTCTTACCCTCAAATAATTCAAATAAAACAGTTCTTAGTACTCTCTGCAGCTACTTTTCAAATGCTTAACTATAATGGCACGTGCATCCTTTGGAACTTAGAGGTGCAGATCTTTCTTCATTTCTTGTCCTTCACCCCCTCCACAAATAATTGTAAAATCATGGTAACACTGTAATTTTTTGGATTTGTTTTGAGGCAAAGTCTCACTCTGTAGTCAGGCTGACCTTCAACTCAGTGATCCTCCTGCCTCAGCTCTCAAGCCCTGGGATTATAAGTATTCATGACCACACCAGACCTGCTAAGTGCATTTTATGAAACTAAGTGAAGCGAGGTCTACCAGCTACTAGGCAGTTCACAAAGCCTGCTAAAGACCAAAATGGATTTGACAGACGAAAACTCAAACAGTAGTGAAGATAAAATAGTCATGGTTTTAGGTAGCTTTCTGCCTCCTCATAAATGTCCCTTTGGGGTTTTGGTCTACTGCAAAAACTATTATACAAGATGTTGGTACTGCTATCAGACTTTCTGGTCAATGAGTCTGTTTGATGTCAAAAGGTAAGTCACATAGCCTGATGGCATTTAATGCTTATGTAGACTGACAGGCCCTTCTCAATAAGTCTTACAACACTGATCAAGACATCAGCATAATGGTCCAGGAATGCCATTAGAGTGAGGAAACAAGTGTTCACCAAGTTTCAAAACCTATCAAGAGTCTGTGTTGTTAGCCTGACTATTATGGACAGTGCTCAGAATTCACGGATTCCACAGGCCACTATGGTGGAGTAGGGGGCAGGGAGCTGTGTTTCAGTCTCAGGCCCAGGCAGAGCTGCCTGATAGCTACTTCTTTCAGGGAAAGAATATAAATGAGGACACATTTTTATGAGGTCTACACTAACAAGTAATTAAATAAAGTATATTACATTCTCCTGTCTTGACAAATATACTTTCTTCATAACTCCCCGGAAGGTTTAGTTCAAAATGGGAATGCTCAACCCCTTGGAAGGTCTGTGTACCACCTATCCCCAGCTAGCTCCCCTTTTCTGCCCACCTCTGAAAGGGTTTCTGAAGGTACCCACTGAGCTCCTCCTTCCCCACCAAAAACATTTGCTTCTCAGACCAAGGCATCTGGCCACTAGACAAAGCCTACAGCACCATGGAGGTAGACCGGGGAGAAGCCCATAAAACACCTGCTGAGCACCCTTAGGGTTGTCTAAGCAAGATTCGGAGAGGGGCCTAGAACAAGAGGGTACGGTGATTGTGCTCCAGGTAGACACAAAGCCTTGATCTCATGAAGGGAATGGCTGGAAAAAGGCCAGGGCGGGTCTTTTGGAGCACTAGGGCCAAGGGCAGAGGTCCTTTTTGCCTGGGTCTAAGGGCAGAGCTATTCCCAATTCTACCTCTAACTTGTGACCTTAGCAAATTAATTTACCATCTGGGGTGACTTTCAGAGATGTTCTATGGTGCCTGGGAAGAAGGCCCCTTGGTTGCCCTCTCTGTGATGTATGCTAGTTCCCAGCTATAGGTGATAGCTAGAGGTGGGTAGGCAAATGGTTCCAGCCAGGCCAATGTGAAATTCTCTTCTGGGAATCACAGAGTGAATAAATACATCAATGACAGCACTAAAGCCCAGGACCGCCAGTGCTGAACTGATCCCAGCACCACTGGTAATTCCATTTGCCTTCTCAGATCACATTTGTTATTCTGCACTACTCCAATAGCCCTCTAATTAATGCAGGGATACTTTGGTTCTAAATATACAAACCTACCATTGCTGCTCCTAAAAATTAAAACAAAACAAGGCTTAAAGAAAACTCTCAGGGGCCAGGGATGGAACTCAGTGGTACCACTCCCTCACTGGAAGTGCAAGGTCCTGAGTTCAATTTCTAGTATGGGGGAAGGAGGGTCCAGGGGGCCTTGCCCTCAGAACTGCTGGGCACTGTGACACATGCCTATAATTTCAGCTCTCTGGGAGGCAGAGGCAGGAGGATCTTAAGTTTGAGGTCAGCCTGGGCAACACAGATGGACCCTGTCTCTAAATACAAAATTCTATAAATGGCTGGGGAACCAGCCCTAAGTTCAATTCCGAATGCTGCAAAGAAAGAAAGACAGAAGGGAGGGTGGGGACAAGGGGTAAAAATGAGAACCAAGACCTGGCATATAAAGGTACAAGATCCCAGTAATGAATGTAACTGTACTGTCTACCTAGAATGTACCAATAAATTCAATTTAAAATAAAAAAAAAGAAAAGAAAGAAAGAAAGACAGACAGACAAACAGAAGGCAAGGGATTTAGCTTAGTACTTTTTTTTTGAGACAGGGTCTCACTACATAGTCGAAACTGACCTGGAACTCACTGTGTAGCCCAGGCCTGTCTCAAACTCACAGCGATCCTCCTGCCTCAGCCTCCCAAGTGCTGGGATTACAGGCATGTGCCACCACACCTGGCAAGCAAAAGAGGGGGGAAAAAAAAAAAAAGAATCACTCTTCAACTGTGCAATTTCTCAAATAATTCATGAAAGAGTAGTAAAGTCGCCACGCAGTATTTCAGAAGCTGACATAAAAACAAATCTTCTGCGTTCCTTGGTACATCACAGACAAATCCCATGTGGCGTATCTAAATTTTAAAGACCTATGATAGAGTAGCCATTGCCAGGTGTTTAATCATGTCCAACAGCCCGACAAGGGGCATGTCTATGTCCCAGCATCTGGGAGGCTGAGAGAAGAGACCTAGCATGAGTTTGAGGCCAGCCTGGGCTACACAGTGAGTACAAGGTCAGCCTGCACTACATAGAGAAACTCTGTCTCAAAAAAAAATCATCTCCAACAGTTTTTAGTAACATGGACAATCCACAAAACAGAAACAAGAGCAGCAAGCAATATGGGCAAGACAGTGGCCTTATATCCAAATCATTCTCCAGAATGACTCCAATTTTCGTATCTTTTATTCCATCATCCTCACAAAACTTCAGGTTACCCTACAAACTTTCAAGGGATTCACACTGTCTATACTCTCACCCTACTCATTCCGTCACTAGGCTGAGTCTGAGAGGTCCCCAGGCTGAAATAAGAAGTCTACCCCACTCTTCAGCAGAAAAAGCTTGCATGTTTGCAGGAAAAACATTTTCAGGATGAGTCAGTAAGAGTCCTGGGAAGAGTTCATGAGGCAGAGAAGCGGTCTCCTTTCTGCCTAGTCCTCACTTCTGCCTTACTTCCTCCACAGCTGGGGCACTGGGCAGGTCAGTAAGTTTCTTCAGGCCTTTCCATCAGCTGTGGACCTGGGCAACAGGACCAGATGTGCTTTCCTGTACTCCACACATATAATAGGCATTTTATATCTCATAGAGCTGGCTGTTTTGGGCGAGGAAAGCTAGAGTGACTCTGCCATTTGTCTGCATCTGTCATTTTGTTTATCCTCCTCCTCTGGGGGAATATTTGTCTAGGTTTGGTGACTGCCAAATTTGCACCTCTCATGCCAACTCAAACATTTCCTCTGGAAAATCCTTTTTGGATACTTCCTTACTACCACTTCATCCTCCCCCGCCCCAGTGGTACTGGAGACTGAACCTAGGGCCCTCATGCTGAACTACATCCCCAATCCCTTTTTTAAAATTTTTAGTAATTCTGGGACAGCCTCAAAATTGCCCACCCTAAGCAAACTGCCCAGGCTGGGCTCAAACTCAATTCTCCTGCCTCAGCCTCCAAGACTGCTGGGATTACAGGCCTGTCACCACACACACAATACCCACTTCATTGGTCTTCTTTATCTGTTGCACAGTAGTGTCTGTATCAGGCTTGTGACAATTCAATTTTGATTAAATCTGTCTTATGATGTCTCCTGGGTACTAAAGGAAGCAAACAAACTACGAGCAGCCTAGGCATTTTCCTACTGCCTTATTTACCATGATGGCACATATAATAGAAAAGCCCAGTATCTTCCTAGATGGTGTGAAAACCACAACTTGTGTTTCCTCTTTGTTTTTTAAAGTTTCTAATTTAGGAGCACAAAGTGTACCTTGAAGCAAAAGTGGCTTTATAACATTTCATTTAACCTAGGGATGGGGGGAAGGGAAGGGAACTCTAACCAGAAATCTTTCACAGGAAAAGGAAGTGGCTTCTATCCCATCCCCATTCTGTATTCTCTGCATAATCCAACTAGTTACTCTGTACAATTTAGCCCAAAGGGTCGAATCTGAATCCAGAATTTTTTAGTTCAAGCATAACTTCAAAATCACAGGGCCACTTCTGCCAAAATGAAAGAGACATGTTATTATAAGGTAAAAAAGCCATAGCTGAAACCCAGTTTGGCCTAGCCTTTCTAGAGTGCTCTCTCAGTAAAGCCACACAAAGACAAGGTTTGGAATCCCAGGGATTGTCATCAGGAATGTATTGAATGTCTCGCAACCTTGGGCTTGGGGTTGGAATCCAGGCTTGAATTGTACAAGTGTAACAGCTGACTAACAATGTCAGCTGGGGAATATTTTGATACCTTCAAATTCAGCCCCATGTAGGAAGAGGCTGCACAAAAAGTTCAGACTGTAGCGCCCTGAGGAGGAATGGTAAAAGCGCCTGCTGGGGCTGCCACACTCTCCTTATAGTGAGATAAAGTGGCTCCCAAAAGAGGTTTCCAGATCCACCCCAGTGGGCACCATCAGAACTGACTCCAGGGAAACTTCCAGCTGTGAATGGCTAACAAAGCTAGGGGCTCTGCATTTGAATGTAAAAGAAGCCTCAATCAGAGAAGCCCTTAAGCCATAAAACCCTGCACACCAGGGCCAAATGTCAGACTTGTAAGAGGGTGTGATTTATAAACTGACAGCACCCACAAAGCTGCTTTTGTACTCCTCTGTTTGTTAACAATTTATCTGCCCTCATCAAACTCATGGAGCTATTCAGATGAAGCCTGACTGCTTGACTGAGCCTCTATGGAGGGGGGACGGGACCAAAGTTTTGGCCAAAACTCCAATGTTCAACTCTGGATAATTACGGTCCTGTGAATAGACACTAAAATTAGGGCTTAATAATTCTTCTGTATCACACTCACAGTATCAAGCTATTCCACTACAAACACAAAAAGAAAAAGAAAAAAAATCTCCAGCACTGCCTTGCTGGAGTCACTAAGAGTTCCACTTTTGTGGTTTTCTGTAAGTCTCTTTAGTGGTTTCTGCACTCTTTAGAATGTCCCCTTTAGAGCAATTTTAACTTGACATTATGACCAGCTGGGTTTTTTTCCTCAACATTTAAATCTACAAAGCAAAAAGCAAATATAGGCTTGGTCATGTCTTTCCTCTCAGTTCAACAAAACCAATTCAGGCCACTTCAAATTGTTTTTCCCATCTCATGATTCCCTTCTCAGGCTCCAATACTAGCTACAGAAACCATCAACTTCTGATTCTTTTCCCACTCCTTAAAATAAATTAAGTTCATGCACCAGATCCAAACAGAGGTTAAACCCCTAAAGTAAACCACATTAAAAAGCATATAACTAAACTGTGTATGGTAGCAGAGGCGTGAAATCTCAGCTACTAAGGAGGCTGAGGCAGGAGGATCGCTGTGAGTTGAAACCAGCCTGGGCTACATAGTGAGTTCCAGATCAGTCTGGACTACACAGTGAGACCCTGTCTGAAAACAAACAAAAAACAAAAAACACAAAAGGGCTAGGGATCTTGCTCAGTGGTAGACTAACTCTGGGTTTAATCTTCAGTACTAAAGGTGGGATGGGTATGCCCCTAATCCTAAGTACTTGAGGAACATAAATTTGAGACTGCCCCAAGCAGCTTGGTGGGACCGTCTCCAAGAAAAAAAAGAGGACTCAGTACGCAGATCCATGGTAGAGTGCTTCCTCTCTTTGTGGGGTACTGGGGATCAAACTAGGGACCTTGTGCTTATGAGGCAGGCGATAGCACCACTGAGCTAAATCCCCAGCCCTGGAGTGCTTCATTAGAAGCTCAAAGCTATGGGTTCAACCACTAGGACACACACACACACACACACACACACACACACACACACACACACAAATTATTTATTTATAATAAGTATTATCAACTATTATTTGATGAAATCAGCCAGGGTATGATGGCACATTGCCTAGAATCAAGCTATTCAAAGAGGCTTAGTCAGGAGGCTCACAAGTTTGAGGCCAGCCCAGGAAATTTAGTGAGATACTATCTGAAAATACAAATTAAAAAAAGGACTAGGGAAAATGTTTTGGGGGGAAAAAAAAAAAAGAGGACAAAGGATATACAGCTCAGTGGTAGAGCACCTGACCCGTCCTGAATTCAATGGGAGGAGGTGTTAAACTGGCTCCAGCACTTAGGACTTATCAAATTGTCTATATGAAAAAAATTATTTGTATAAAAGCAATAGCTTCTGCTCACAACAATCTTTCTGATACTACTCCATGCAGGAGAGGTCAAAACTAGTAGTCCAGATAAGCCACAGAGGCGTGTTCTGTTTGGCCTCCAAACAGCATTCAAAGCAATTTCAGCAGGCTGCCAGTGTTAAAAAATCCGGGCAGTGCATATAAAAAACAGCATTTGCGATTCTCTTGAAAATTCACATCTGGAACTCCTCCCCTCAGAGTAACAGTTGACTGGCACTAGGCAACAGCCAGTTTGAAGGGATAAAGATGGGCCTTGCCCTCAAGACTGCTCCACTGGCCTCGCTTTTCTCATTTGCAATTGACAAGGCCTTGCAACCCCACTAAGCCCCAGGGTTTCTGACCTCCCCTCCCCACGTGGCAAGTACCTACCTTTTTGACCATTGTAGTCTCAGATGAATCAAGTTTTGCTCTCTTGGTGTCAGGTCCATCCTCTACTCCTTGGCTAACTTTGGCAACTTTGGTTTTCTCCCTAGAGGATGACAAGGGGAGGGAACTCAAGAGCTTGTGCTTGCAATGTTGGCAATGGCACCACTGAGCTAAATCCCCAGCCCCTGCCATGATTTCTTAAAAAAAGTATTACCAGCACTGTGTAGGATGGTGGGTAAAGAGCAAAATCTTTGAAGTCAAATAGACGTGGGTTCAAATCCCAACCCTGTCACAAACTACCTGATAAATTGGTGACCCACTCTGTGGAAACAACAGTCCCTGATACCATTAATGCAAGAAGTATAATAATATAAACTACTCAGCACACTGCCCTGCACGTATAAGCTCTCAATAAATGAAAGCAATTACTTTAAACCATCCCAATGGAATCATAAAAGAAATATTCAGCTTTGTTTGGCATTCAGAGGTCCAAGCACTCAGAGGCTAAGACAAGAGGATCACCACAAGTTTAAGACCAGCCTAGGCTACACAGTGAGTTGAAGGCCAGCTTAAACTACATAGCCAGACCCTGTTTCAAAAAACAACAAAAAAGGGCCGGGAATTTAGCTCAGTGGTTCCACTGCCTGCCTCGCAAGCAGAAGAACCCAAGTTCAATCCCTGGTACCCCAAAAAATAAAAAATTAAAAAAACTGCAATCCAACCTTAATTCCTTCCTTATGCTGTGGCAAGCCCATGTTTACTTACCCAACTTTTCGTTACTGTATCTTTACTTATAATATATCCAAAGAAGGAGATATTTCCAAAGCCATACAATGCTCTAACTAGGAGATATCTTGAACATGTTTCTCCTTCCTTCATTTTTAATTTATTGGTAAGAGAAATCTTGGTTACTTCCCTGAGAGACTGAACAAGAGAGGGCAATTCTCAGGCTCTGGGCAGGAAGCTCTACCCCACTACACCAGCCTCTCTTCACCTCTCATTAGCAAGTTGGGGTGGGGGAAGAGTATGTGTCAGAAACTACAGCCAAAAGAACCAACTCACATAGTTTTACAATACTGCATCACCTGCCATCTTTCATGCAGAAGCTACAAATTCAAAACAGTACAGGCCCCATCAAGTGAGAATTACCAGTCTGCAGCCTCAGTATCTGAAATGAAGGAGAAGGTCTGTTCATTCCACTAGAGTAATATACAGATGGACACAGAAGCTTTTCCAAGGTACATCTCTGTTGAGGAAGCTCCAGGGCTATCCATCTACTACCCTTCAAACTGAAGGCATGCTCTTCCTATGCTGAAAAAATAGGTTCAGCACCTCAGGGCCAGACTGATCAAATACTCACATGGTATACTCGGGATACAACTTGCTGTAGGCTTTAGATCATCAGACTCATTCTGGAGGGCAAGGGCCAAACTTCCTACAATTTTGAACCCACAGCCTATTGTATTCAATAAATTGTCAATGGCTTGATTTGAGGATGTTCTAAGTATTACCGTGAAATACTTTCCTTAGATGCTATGATTCCTACCAATAAATAAAACTAAACTTGGAAATACTCTATTCTCCTTTCCACACTCAACTTACTCTACAAACTCATGCTCTCCAAGATTGGCAAATGTGTATCCATGGTAGCCAAAAACATCTCCTGTGAAGAATTTGATGCTGTTTTTGTGACAGATCTGGTCAACATTAACTATGATATCCCTGGAACAGCATGTCAGGCACACCTGCAGGAAGAAAGAAATTGGGTGGGTGTGAGTTTTGCAAACTGTGAATCACTGCCCTCATGTCTAAATAAACCTCAGTGAACAGTCAGTCTCTCAGGGCATACTGAAAGCGTTTCAAACTGGTACAACAGGTTCTTTGCATGCTCTGGGTAGAAGACCAAAGAGAAATTACAGCTTTCAGTGTGTAAAAAATGTAAATTATGTGATAGTCACTTTCTTCAATCAAAAGAAATGTTTAGCTACAAAAGTAAAAGCCGTAAAAAAGTAAAAGCTATTTCATGAATGTTTCCCTTAATCCATGAATATATACAAACTGCACAGTTGTCATGAAAAAGATAGCAATAATTTGGCAAGCTATCTCTAAACTAGAGACTAAACCTATTAAAACTCAGAGAAGCAAAAACAGTTTTTTAAACTGACCCAAAGGTCATATTTCCATAGAAGAAGAACATTCCTCCGTCTATTGATTGATATGTTAAGAAGATAAATCCTGTTGTGATTTTTCTACAGATTTTGGTGTGCAACTTTATGAAACTTTATCTAAACTAAAGAACAAAAGAAAAGGTTACAGGGCAAACAACCTTCCATTTTGACTTAGACAATAAACCAGTGATTCAATGGAGCTATCAGTGCTGTTCTGCAACCTCTAGGTTGTGTTCCAATAGCCTGCTATGCTGCAAATAGCCAAGTTCTACTGCATAAAACACTATCTTTTCAGGAGAAGCTTTGTGATAGCCATCAAAAGATAACTTTGGGAGGCTGGGATTTAGCTCAGTGGTGCCACCTGCCTCGCAAAGGCAAGGTCCTTAGTTAGATCCCCGTTACCCCCCCAAAAAAGATAACTTTGGGACTAGGAATGTAGCTCAGGGGTACAGCATGGGCATAACATAAATGAGGCACTGGGTTCAATTCCCAGTACTGAGGAAGGAAGGATAGGAGGACGGAGGGAGGGAGGGAGGGAGGGAAAGGGAGGGAGTGAAGCAAGAAAGCTAGCTTCTAAACTGCACATGCTTTCTCTTGAACATAAGGCCATGTTCAGTCGATAGAGCCTCTTTGCTGTTGTCTAGCAGACTGGGTACTGAAATAACACTCACAGAAAGAAAAAAAAAAGAAAAACACTCAGAAATGTGTTCCTTGGCTGTTTCAAAGGATGCAGCCACCCAAGGAAGAATCACATCTGAAAGGTAAGCAAGTCACAGGGAACATACAACCAACTGATGAAATAGAACCCTGCAGATTCAAAAGTGATTAGAACACCTGTGTGGACCAGCAAACGCCCCGCAGAGGAATCACCCTCATCCCACGCATGTGCATTACCTGGCCATACTCATCTGTTCTTACAAACCTTGTCTCTAAACCTACAAGTTCCAGGGACATCTCAAATAAACCAAATGTGGATACTATGCATAAGGAAATGAAGAGAAGACTAAGATTGAAGTGGAGAGTGCCTCGATACCTGGAGTTATAAAATAGAAGGGATGAGATAAAGGACAAAGGCACAGATCCATTGTCCCAAGTCCATGTTGGTTAGATGTATGCATACTATAAAATACAACAGTGTAACGCTGGGCCTGGTGGTGCACCTCTGAAATCCCAGCACTTGGGGCTGAAGCAGGAGGATCACAAGTTCATGGTCAGCCTAGAATACATAGTGAATGCAAGACCAATCTGAACTATATAGCAAGATCCTGTCTCCAAAATAAAACAAAAAAAATGTGAAAAACTAGCCAAACCCAAATCCTAACTTTGTGCATAATAGGCCTTGCACTTAAAAACAAGTACCTCCTTCATGACCCTTCACGTTAACCTGGATTTCCTGGATTTGTTAAGCTTTCCCAGGATACAGCGTACTGTCTGAAAGATCAGACACTTACAGAGAATTTAACTTCTCCTTTCACCTCTGCATAGAATTGTCAGTGAAAGTAAATGAGGCTGGCTATGCCTCACTGGACTTATATATTCTTTTCGTTTTTTGGTACCAGAGATTGAACTCAGGACATGTACTTGCCAGGTAGGCACTGCATCACTGAGCCAAATCCAGGGACTTGGACTTATGACTAAAGTGAGTTTGCCTTGTTATCCATGGTCAAAGTGATTGTGAAAATAAGGCAGCCACAGGCCAAAATAAGGTATGCTTTTTCTTAAGACTAAACATTTGCTATAGTTTGATACTGTATTTCTAACAAAAAAGTGCCTCTGCCACTGAAATTAACTTGTTATGTTTTGGGGAGAAAACATTTATAATATTATATATCTAAGATATGTGCAAAGATTCTAGAAGGAAGACAAAACACCAAAGCTGAAACGTGCTTTGGGGGACATATGCCCGGAGAAGCCAGCAGACAACTCGTCACAACCACAGCACGTCCAACAGATGGGATCTACCTAGCAACATACTCATGCGGTACACACAGCTAGAACAGAGGAGCTTAAAAATGTGCTTGAGAAAAAGTTCAGAATTTAAGATCTGAAGGCTCTAAAACACCTATAACTTAGTGCTTTAATTTGCTTAATTCCCCTAACAAGCTTTACATTAACAAACTTACAGCATCAAATTGAGTGAAAAATGACTCAGGTTTTTTCTCGATATCCTCAGTGTCCACTTTCACATCCACCATGGGGTTGAGATTCTGGGCTCTTTCCAAAGACGCTTCAGCTCTATTTCGGCCAATGGACCCAGTACGAATCAGGAACTGAGCTCCAGGATCATCTGGAGATACCTAGGAATAATATTTTTAATTCTTGATTTTTTTTCCTGGAAAATAAATTTCAAAGACAATAAACTTCTTCTTCTTCTTCTTCTTTTTTTTTTTGGTACCAAGGATTGAACTCGGGTCATTGCGCTTGCAAGGCAGGCCACTGAACCGCTGAGCTAAATCCCTGGCCCTAAACTTCCTATCTTAAAGGATAGCTAATTGTATTACTGTTCCCAGGGCAATTTGCCGAATACAGACTCCCTACACTTTTCTGAGATTTAAAGCAGGACATTTAACTTTTTCAAACTGGTCATTGATAGTTAAAGAGCACCCCCTTGTGTTTATAAGGAAAATTTGCTCTCAACGAAGGCCTTTCTTCCATTACAATTTGCTTACATTTCTAGCTTCTAACAAAATGACTGGGTACCACTGGTAGAAACACAGATTCTGTCAGGTGCTACCATGCCTGGCTTCTGCTGCTTGGGAAGTTGAGGGAGGAGAAATACAAGTGTGAGGCCAGCCTGCACAACTTAGCAAGATTGTTTTAAGTAAGATTTTAAAATAATGCTGGGAATATATCGCAGCACTCCCTGGGTCAATGCCCAGCACACACAAAAAAATACAACAGTAAAACCCAAAAGTACCTGGTTCAACTACTCGCTGTGTGACCTTCAGTACATTAGGGGAACTACATATATTTAAATGCATGCTGAAAATTAAGTTGTTAAATAAAAGGATATACTCCAGTTGGACACGGTGCACGCCTGCAATCCCAGCACTTGAGAGGCTGAGGCAGCAGGATCACTGGGCTGGGAGGTCAGCAGGGGTACATATTAAATTCAAGCCCAGGATGAACTACATAGTGAGACCCTGTCTCTAAACAAACAAAACAAAACAACCCACAAAAAAAACAAACGAGCATACACTTATTAAACCCCACCAATGCTAGTCATTACAGTCAATCCACCTACACCTCCCTTATGACACTCTAAACCCCTCTAACTCCCCAGGCCTCTCAACCCTGGGTCTCTTCCTCCTCTCTCAAGAGACAGTCCAGTTTCTATATGGCCCTCTTACTACAAACTGTCTCTAGGATCCCATCTCAGAACCATTCATCTTTTCACGCTGTGTAGCTCCATAAACCAAATCAATGCCTCTTTTTAGTGTCTACCCAAATCTGCATTTATTTCTCAAATTCCTCTTAATAGTGTAGACTTCTTCCTTTCATCCTTGAGTTGTTTATCAAACTGCCCACCTAGCCACTTCCTCCTGGATATTCCAACAGCCTGCCTACCTCTCCCCTCTCTTGGTCTCTTTCTTGCCTGCCTTCCTTCCTTTTTCTTTTCTTTTCTTTTTTGCAGTATTGAGATTAGGGGTCAGGGATGTAGCTCAGTGGTGCTGCACCTGCCTGACAAGTACAAGGTCCTGAGTTCAATCCCTGGTTCTGCAAGCAAGCAAGCAAATCAATCAATCAATCAAACAAACAAACCAAAACTGCACCACTTGAGGTTAAAATCCAAATGCTCTATAGGGCTGGGGATTTAGCTCAGTGGTTCTACTGCCTGCCTCGAAAGCACAAGAATTCAATCCCCAGTAGCAAAAAACAAACAAAAAACAAACCAAATGCTCTACCGTTGAGCTACATCTCTAACCCTTTTCTATCTGTTTTGACAGGGTATTACTAAACTATCCGGGCTCAAACTGAGATCTCCCTGCCTCAGCTTCCTTAAATACTGGGATTAAATTACTGGGCACCTTTCCCAGCTTAATCCTTTATAACTGACTCCATTTATATTTGCCATCAACCATCCATTCAGTCACCCAAGCCCAAAACCTGGTCTTCATATCATTGCTATTTCCCTGACTGCACCTGCACAGAATGGTGGCTAAAGGGCATGGGCTCTAAGTCACTGGCCAGGTCCTAGACACAACACTAACTGTGGGGTCGGGAATTAGCTCTGTGGTTCCACTACCTACCTTGTAAGCACAAGGTCCCGAGTTCAGTACCCAATACCACAACAACAACAACAACAACAACAACAACAACAACAATACTAACTGCGAGACGTGAGTGGACTAGGACTTCACTTCCTTTCCCAGTTTTCTGTAAAACAGGGATGATGTAAAACAGTAAGTCCCAGTTGCCATGAGAACAATACAACTACAGCTTGTGGAACAGGGCCAAGAACTTTCAGTAAAATGGCAGGTGCTGCAGCTATTCCTGCCTCTTCTTAAACTCCAGTTTGTACACCTCTACCGAATACATCACCTAAGTTTCTCTCAGTCATGTGCTTCTTGTCATCTCTTTCACCAAGATCTTTGCTCAGACCCTTTTTACCTCAAAGTGGCCTTCTGCCATGTATCTTACACTGAACATAATTCACAATGATCAGTGATCTACTCAAATCTATTTATTGGATCTTTTTTTTTTTTAATTGATTTTGTTTAGGGACCTACACCCATAGTAATGATGTACTGTATTACTGATAAAGCCCAAAGCTGACCAGGTTACCTTCTCCCCCAGTTTGAAACTGTTTAATGAGCTTTTAGCACCCACAAGACTGAAACTTTTTTTAAAGAGCAGGAAATTTTATTGGGAAGTAGGAACAGCTCCTGAGAGACAGGAGGGGGCCTGAATGGGTTGCCACAGAGCCCACTTCTCTGAGAAAGTTTTATAAAGCAAAGTCACGAGGGCTGGGTACAATGTGGGTCAAATTATAATCAACCAATAAGATTACAAGTATAGCCACTTAGCTAATACTGATCGAACAGTAGCAAGAGCTTATGGATAACATCATTAACCTTGGTCCACAATCTATAGTCTTAGTCTTGTCTTTAGTCTCAGTCCTAGTTGGTGGGAGATGGCCCACCCCTAATGAGGTAATGGTTTATTTATATGGGAAATCTCAAAAGGGTGGTACCAATAATCTCAAACTTTCTTAGGGAAGAATGTAAGTCTGGTCATTGTAACTTTAATCTTCTTCACATGTGCCCCCCCCACCAGAATTGAACTCAGGACCTTGCACTTACAGAAGCAGATGGTGGAACCACTGAGCTAAATCTCTGGCCAATCCTGTTTTTGATGTGTTCTCATCTTCTGGACTGACTCCCTTGAGTGCCTATCCCTGTCTGACTGCCTATAATACTTCTACCTAACTTATCTGTCTATAATATTCCCCTCTCTGAAGAGCTAACCCTAACTGCACTTAACGGAGAATGGGTGTAGTTTTTCCATCTAGCTGCACAAGCTGAGAAGGGTCGGTGTAGGGGAGACCACAATCTGGGCCTTCTCCAGAGAGCTAATCTAATGGCCTTGGTTGTAATTCACGTTGCAATTTAGCAATTTATAAACTCCCTTTACAAAGTCCATCTAGTAAATCCCGGTAAAAAGAGCCTGGCACATTTGTTGAAGGTTCCATATGCTTGATCACTGGGGAATGAGTGAAAACTTACAGTGGGTCCTCCCTCCTGACACAAATTTGACCGGCAACCTGCCCCACCCCCACCAGGTTGGGCCTCATACTCTAAAAATACCAGAGTGCTTATCATACTCCATTTCTACCATACTGGTAGGTACTTTTGCACTAACATTCCCTACCTGAAACACAGCCCCTTAAACTTGATGCACCACTCTCTGTTCTTTAAGACCTACTCAGAAACTCCAGGACACTTTCAATGTCTAGCTAAAATTACCTGAGAATGCTCTGGTTTCTAGAAAAAAATTGAGACTAGAAAGCAAACTGTGAACATGCTTCTAAAGCATCACAAGGTATCCAGCAGGTGCGCTCAGATGCTTGCTCAATACAAGCTCAACTGAAAGTTCAGAGGAGCACTAATGTCCTCATTTTAGAGATAAACAAACTGGGCCAGAGATTTAGCTCAGTGGTTCCACTGCCTGCTTGGCAAGCCCAAGGTCCCAAGTTCAATCCCCCATACCAAATAAACAAACAAAAATACTTCCAGATCTTCCTGAATACCCACATAAAGTGAGTTTTAAATGTTCACATTAATTTCTTGGTTGTCTAATGGTTAGGAAAATAAGTAAGCAAGCTGGGTCTGTATTTTCAGTTAGTATTCACATGATTTTTAGGCACATTTTGGAAAATCATTTCTCTACTCCTTACAACTACTTTCCTAAGGGAAATGTCATTAACTCAATTTTGCAAACTAGCAAGCTCAGTCTGGTGGCCTTGAGTCTCCAGTGTCATCCAGTTAGAATGTGATACAGCTGGAATTCAAAGCCAGTGCCATCACCTTGAATCTCCGAAGGCTATGGTGCCATTAACTACAGCCTTCCTCTCCCAGCACAAGTAAGCAACCACAAAATCTACAGAACAAAGAGGAGGGCAGCAATAGGGTGGCAAGAGTGCACCTGTTCGTGATCCAGCATGGTCAGTCCTTTCACTCCTGCCAAGATGAGATTCTTGGCGATTTCAGCTCCAAGTCCTTTCATGCCGACCAGAAGCACACGGGAGGCCCGAAGCCTGTTAAGGGAGACACTGTTAACCTGATGATATGGAATGGTGGAGCGTGCTGAATCATAAAAGAACAAAATAGCAGGAAACTAGTTTTGGTTTTCATAAAAGGCATGGAAGGGAAACCTCAGCCTCAAATCTACTGAACAGAAAGGCCCCAACCCATCCTGCACAAATTCACTCAAGAGGTATTCGCTAAGGTATTGAAATACAGCAATATTGTAAATACAACAGTCCCTCCCTCATGAAGGGGGAGGAAACAAACAAGCAGAGATATGTCCCCAAGTGCCAGGCATGGTGGTGCAACCTGTAACCTCAGCATTCTGCGAGGCCAAAGCAGAAGAATCGTTCAATCAAAAAAATCAAGACCAAACTCACTATGTAGTCCAAGTGGTTTTGAACTCGTGGTGACCCTCCTGCATCAGCCTCCTTAGTGCTGGGATTATAGGTGTGCACCACCACACTGGAATGCTACCAATTTATGCAGCAGGTCAATTCTTTTCAAGTACCAGTAGTTAGACTATGCAAAAACTCTTTCCCAAAACTGACTCTGACAATCACTGGCACTTGTATAATCATACTAGAAATTTTAAATTTTTTGTTTGTTTTCTCGAATAGGGCTTGCTACATAGTTCAGGCTGGGTTTGAACTCACAACAATCATCCTGCCTCACCTTCCCAAGTGCTGGGATTATAGGCATGCACCACCACACCCTGCTGAGGATAGAAATATTTAATAAGAACAATGGCTGAAAAACCATGTTGGCACAAATCTGTATTCCGGGAGGCTGAAGCAGAAGGGTCACAAATGCAAACACAGCTTGCATAAAAGACTCAGCAATACCTTATCACAACTAACCAATCAATTAATCGGTTGGGGGCGGAGCTCAGTACTAATCCCCAGCACTGAAGATGAAGGAAGAGAAAGCAGAAGAGGATGAGGCAGAGGCCAGGCATGATGGCACAAGCCTGTAATTCCAGCACTGGGGAGGCTAAGACAAGACATTTTCACATTTGAGGCAAGCATAGGCAGGCAACAATACAAGTACCAGGCCAAAGAGTGAACCACACCTGTATGAAAAAAAAGGAGCCACACTGGTGGCAAACATCTACGATCCCAGTTACAGAGGCTGAATCAGGAGGATCACAAATCTGAAGTCAGCCTGGGCAATTTAAGGAGTCTCAAAATTTTAAAAAGGGCTGAGCATGGTGACAGACTCCTGCAATCCCAGCACTCTGGAGGCAAAGGCAGGAAGCCTACAAGTTCAACCCCAGCCAAGGTCATTTAGCAAGACCCTGCTTCAAAATAAAAATATATTCTAAAAGGGCTGGGAATGTAAAGTCCCTGAGTTTAATCTCAAGTACCACAAAAAGAAAAAAAAAAAAAAAAAAAAAAAAAAAAAAAAAAAAAAAAAAAAAAAAAATAGAAAAAAGCTGGACTGTAGTGCAGTAGTAGGGCACCTGCCTAACAGGCCTGAGTCCCAGGCATTCAATCCCCAATATAGCACCCATATATTAAAAAAGGGAGGGGTACGTCTTTGCCTTTTTTCCTATGGGACCCCTTCCACTGCCAATCACAAGCTAGCAGACATGAGCCCTTCAAGTGGCCATTTCATTTCTCTAGGAGGAAATTGGGAGAGGGTTTATAACACACAAACAAGGTAAACAATATGCTAGTAATGAACAGGTCTCATCTCAGACATACGAGTGGAGGGAAGAAGGAAAACTATGCAACTTCCCAGAGGTCCCCAATCACTTGCAAACAGGCATTTAACAATGTTTCCAAAGAGAATATACCACACGTCAAACCTCTGACTACAGAAGGTCTCTGCATTTAGCCGCCCATCCCAGGTGCCTGCTGTCACTGTTTGTCTACCACCCCTCAGTTCAGCTGGCCTTGCAACTACCTGGTGCACCTCCCAAGTTCTGCTTCAAGCTGAGTGACTGGGTCTTGTCTGGCTGCTCCAGTAGCTTGTGGATAGCTGGCACGGCTTAGCTCTCCTCAGGGAATCTGTATCTTCACACTACCAATGGCCCCCTCATCTCCAAACCCACCAACTATTGCTCAGGCTGATCTCTTTGGTATTGCTTTAGCAATGGCCACTGCTAATCACTAATGCCTGTGTGTAAGTAAAGGTTTGGGCTTGAATTCTGTTTTGTACTGGGGATTGAACTCAGGAGCTTGTGCTTGCAAGGCAGGCAAAGGAACCACTGAGCCAAATTCCCAGCCCTTGGGTTTGAATTCTGAATTCTGCCACTTCCCAGCAGAGTGACAGGTAAAGCTATACAATCACACTTAACTTCAGTTTATTCACTTGTAAGATGAGGATACTGAGTTCATATAATTTAATTCCCTTGACAGCTGGGTAAAATGTATGTGCAAAAGCTTTCAGCGTAATACCTGGCTTGTAACAGATACTCAAATATTATGTGAGTTTACTGAATGCACTACCCTGATTATAAAAGGGTCCATGCCAGGTGTGGTGGCACACCACTGTAATCTCAGCACTCTAGAGGCTGAGGCAGGAGAATCGTTACCACAAGTTTCAGACCAGCCAAAGCTACATTGTGAGTTCAAGATCAGCCTGAACTACAATAAGATCCTATCTCAAAAAAAAGACAGACAGATAAGACAGACAGACAGACATGAGGGTCCAGTAAAGGATTTGAATCTGTATTTAAGAAAACAAAAATCTAACAAGAAAAAAATGTAAAGGTGGCATTTAAAGCCATTCAGTACTGGCTCTATCTTACTCTACAAGTTTATCATCTATTATGAGATTACTCCCAAGTATGCCTTCAGTTTTCCATCTTTAGACTTTAAATCAGAGCAGCCCATATTCCTGAAATACACCATCTCTTCTTCGTTTTCTACCTCTCTTCCTCTCTGGTCAGCCTACCCAAGCCTTTCCCTTTCTCCTAGACTTCAAAAGCCAACTTGAATGCCATTTCCTCAAACAGTCCTCTCTTGGGCCGGGGATTTAGCTCAGTGGTTCTGCCGCCAGACTTGCAAGCACAAGGACCCAAGTTCAATCCCCTTACCAAAAACAAAAACAAAAACAAAAACAGCCCTCTCTTATCACAGCACTCTCTCTCCCGAACTCTTCTAGCAAAGGCTTCAAGGTTAGTAGGGGAGGTATCCAGGCAACTGATCCTAGGGCCTTTATACTGAGCTGTATTCCAGTTTTTTATTTATTTTGAGACAAAGTTTCATTAAATCGCTGCTAAACTGCTCAGGCTGGGCTTGAATTTGTGATACTCCAGCCTCAGTCTCGCAGAATGCTGGATTACAGGCACATGCCACCATGCCTGGCAACAAGGCTACATTTGATGCCTTTGGCAAAAGACCTCATGTAGTCTAGTCTCTCCACAGCCTCCAATCCACTATGGCTCTACAGACTCATACTTTGCTGGAGTTTTTCTTATTCAACTGCCACCAACAATGAATATTATGATATGTATATATATTTTTGTCTGTTGTTTGTTTGTTTGTTTTTTGAGACAGGGTCTCACTATGTAGTTGAGACTGATCTGGAATTCACTATGTAGCCCAGACTGGTCTCGAACTCACAGTGATCCTCCTGCCTCAGCCTCCAGAGTGCTGAGATTACAGGCATGCGCCACCATGCCCGGCTTGTCTGTCTGTTTTTTGGGACAAAGTCTTATTAGGCAGCCCAGGCTGACCTTGAATTTGTGGAGATCCTCCTGCCTCATCCTCCCAAGTGCTGGGATTAGAGATGTGTACCACTATATCTGGCTGTATGTTATGTTCTTTTTGTTTCTTTTGTTTGAGATAGGGTCTTGCTGTGTAGTCCAAACTGGCCAGGACCTCTTAGCAATCCTCGATTGCCTCAGCCTCCCAAGTGCTAGGATTATAGGTAAGCACCATTATTATGCCCAGGAGACTACACTTTACTTATGGCCAAATTACATGAAAAGTGCTTAAAACAGTACCTGGCACGTAGTCGGCACTTAATGAATGTCACTTATCACTCATACTGTGATGCAACCATTATTCCCCTTTTAGGAATCAATTCAACAGATATACTTAAATGGGCATAAAAATTATGCAAATATTTTCTCAGTAGCCAGATATGGTGGCACATGCCTGTAATTCCAGCAGTAGGGAAGCTGAAGCAAGATTTACTGTGAGTTCAAGGCCAGCCTGAACTACACAGTGAGTTCAAGGACTGTCTGAATTACATAGTAAGATGCTATCTCAAAAGAAAAAAAAAATAAATAAATAAACACATATAAATTGCTAATAAGCACATGAAAAAGAGGCTCAATGACATAAATATAAAACTGCCAGGTATGATTACTTTATTTTGAGATACGGTCTATTTGCAAGACACCACTCTACTCTGAGCTACCATTTTTCACCTACAAAACTGTAACAGCAGGGACGGGGATTTAGCTCAGTGGCACCACACCTGCCTTGCAAGCACAAGGTCCTGAGTTCCAAATCCAACACAAAAAAACCACAAGAAAACTGTAACTGCAGCTGGACATGGTACAAAGTATCTGTAGTTAGCTTCAAGCAGCTAAGGCAGAAGGATCTTCTGAACGTAGGAGTTCTGGATCAGCCTGGGCAAAACAGCAAAACCCGTCTCTTAAGAAAAAATTATAAACACACAAATAAATAAAGCAACAGCCTTATACCTGGTCTCCTGCTTCCATTTGTGCCCCTTACAATCTATTATCCCCATCTCAGTGAGAGCTTCTCCTTTTTAGATTTTTTCTTCTAGTTCTGGATATCCAATCCAGGATCTCGGGTATGCTAGCACCTACTCTACCACTAAGCCTTGCCCCCAGCTCAGAAAGACCCCAACCGCATTTTTTTTTTTTTTTTTTTTTTGGTACCAGGGATCAAACCTGGGTCCTTGCACTTGCAAGACAGCCACCAGAACCTCTAAACTATATCCCTGGCCCCTTCCCCACTTCTTTTACTGCAGATTAGACCCAGAGGCAAGCTAATCCCTCTCTCTGTCTCTCTCTCACACACACACA